CTCAAAAAAAAAAAAAAAAAAAAAAAAAAAAAAAATGCTAAGGCTGCTCCTGTGGTCAAGAATGCTGGCCCTGTCATCTTCTAAAACCCTGTCCTGATCTCTAGCCCAGCTCCTCCAGCCCTGCCCCACCCGCTAAGCAATGTGGTACTTGTTCACAGCTTCCCGCTCCCCAAGCCCAAACTTGATGAATAATTGTCAGTCTCTTCCTTCCTTATTCCTTTTTTCACTTATGTATACTGGTATTTGTATTTCACAATGTGTTATTCACATGAAAGTCAACAAACAATAAACAGAATGAAAATTTTTAACCACCTATAATTTCATAACTCAGGAATAACCACTATCATTTTATTACTTTCCAGATTTTATATGCACATATATGCATAGATTTTTTTTTTCTTTTTGAGACAGAGCCTCAAGCTGTCACCCTGAGAAGAGTGCCGTTGCATCACAGCTCACAGCAACCTCCAACTCCTGGGCTCAAGCAATTCTCCTGCCTCCACCTCCCAAGTAGCTGAGACTATAGGTGCCCACCACAACTCCCGGCTATTTTTGTTTGCAGCTGTCATTGTTCGGCAGGCCTGGGCTGGATTCAAACCCCCCAGCTCAGGTGTACATCGCTGGCGCCTTATCCGCTTGAGCCATAGGCACTGAGCCCATAGATTTTTTTTAAAAAGAATAAGTGGTTCATGGCCTGTAATTCTAGCACTCTGGGAGGCCAAGGCCAGAGGATCAGTTGAGCCCAAGAGTTTGAGGTTGCTGTGAGCTATGATGCCATAGCACTCTACCAAGGGCGAAAAGAGTGAGACTGTCTCAAAAACACACAAACACACAAAATGACCACAGTATACATACTATTTTATAATTTGTTTTCAAATAATTTATAGTAAATATGTTCCATATCTAATTTCTTAACTCTTTTTAATGTTCATAGCTTTTTAATGGCCCATATAAGTAAAAACCCTATACTGCAATTACACATGCATCTGTCTTGCCTCCCCTACACAATCTAACGGTCTTTGAGACGAGGTAGGGACTTTTGTTTTCCATTATGGGATCTTTGCCCCATTCCTACCCCCACCCCACAGTGCTTACTTAGCACGCTGTGGATGAAGTGTTTGGTGAATGAAGGCACAAGAATGTAAATGGGCAAGGTGAGAGCTCCTGGATTTTGGAGAAAAGAAGTGACTCTGAGCTGCCTGAAGATGTCCGTCACTCAATTCCAAAAGCATGATGCAAACACCAGAACATGAGAATGCTGGACTCCATACCACAGGAACTCACAGCTTCCCAGTCAACCCTACTATGGGCATTTTCTCAAAAGAACAAATAAAGCCCAAGGTCAAGGAAATTAGGCAGTACTTACCTCATTGACTATGTAATCCAACAATTCAAAAATTGCCATGGGAGGTCGGCTATCCATTCCATATGCTACAAATTTTATAAAAAGAAAACACTTCTCAGAAACAGATTACTTGCCAATATGAGGCAAGGGGTGGGACATGGTCACAGAAGAAAAACAGAATAGTCACAGGTAAAGCCTCAACCCAGAAGGAATCAGCAAAGGCCACAGAGTTAGCTAGCCAGGGAGAGCCTGGACTCTGCCACATCCTAGGTTTCTGACCTTGGCCAAATCAACTGACCACTGAACCCAAGTTTTGAGTTCTGTAGGGCAGAGACAAATAATAATTATGTCTGCTCTTCCCCCACCCCTTATATTGAGAGAGAAGCAAATGAGATAATGACTTTTAGTTTTCATTCTCTCTGAACTTCCTACCCCAGAGTCACAGGCCACAGCCACCAGCCCCTGCAGTGAGCTGACATCATCCTCATCCATCCCTGGTCCCACTGCTTTTCCCTCACCAGCACCCTTGCCCATGTGGACTTCAAGGAGGTAAAGATCAGATCTCCCTAACCAGACAGGTGCTTCCAGGCAGGAACTATATAGAAAGATGTCTGCTGCCTCAGAATATCCACTGAGTACTATACTGCAAATACCATCTTTGGAGTCAGACTTGGCCACTTACAAGCATACATGGCCTTCACAAGTTAAGTGCTCTGCACCTCAGTTTCCTCATCTCTAAATCGGAGGTGCTAATAGTGTTCACAAATGGAATGCTATTAGAATTAGATAATGCTAGGCAAATCCATGGAGACAGAAAGTAGACTAGTGGCTGTTGGAGATGGGGTTGAGGGAAGTTGGGAGGTAAGGATAGGGTTTCTCTGGGGGATATATACTTTAAAATGTGAAATTTGTTATGTGAACTTTACCTCAATAAAAAATAAATCTAGGCAGTGTTCATAGTTCATTGGGGGAGGGCGCCGGTCATATACACTCAGGCTGGCCAGTTCGAACCCAGCCCAGGCCAGCTAAACAACAATGACAACTGCAACAAAAAAATAGCCAGGCACTGTAGCAGGTGCCTATAATTCCAGCTACTTGGGAGGCTGAGGCAAGAGAATCGCTCAAGCCCAAGAGTTTGAGGTTACTATGAGCTAAGACGCCACAGCACTCTACCGAGGGCAACATAGTGAGACTCTGGTCTGAATAAATAAATAAATAAATAAATCTAATAAAAAATGTCATGACTAAAAAACAAATTAGATAATGTATATAAAGGGCTAAATGCAGTACCTGGAGCAAAGTCGGTACTCAACAAATGGCAGGATGTTGTTGGTAGTAACAATAACTTCCTATATCCTTCTGGAGACCTCTACCTCTTCTCCCCCACCCCACCCCAACCCCCGCCTGGCATCC